ACTAAAATCCCTGTAACGCATGGATTCCCTCCGATGTACACACACGACATCTACCATATTCTGGAGACACTGGTCTCCTCGTTCCAGGATCTGCAGAACACATTCGCATGAACTTGCAGACCCACATCTGGACATTCTTTTGTCTTTTCGGACGGGATGATGCGCAACTGCATATTCGCTCCAAAAACTTTGACTCCTCAGTATTGTTGCGTATACCAACGCCGAAGTCCAATTCTGCACCGACCGTCGGCTCTCCGACTTTTGACGATTGCATACATATACAGAAGCCTGCAGTGGCAGAACACGCAGTCTCCACCTTGCCGAAGACATTGCATTCAGCAGGGCGACTGAACCTGACACGCAGTCAGGCCCATACGCATTGTCGAGCTGGTGATATAGTGCGTGCATTTCTATAGAGCCGTTCTGCCGAGAGTTACAGTTTATTAGTTTCAATTTCTACCCCTGTCTATCCTCGGTGGCGTATCTAATTTTGTCAGAAATCGGAGGAACTCACTTCTATGCATAAGGCTTACTTTAGTCCGTTTTAGTAGGTAGTATTTGTTCGTTGCTAATATTGTGCTGAATTGAACACTAGATTATACATAGTTTTGTATATGATTTTAACGTAGTTATAATGTATGTTATATACAGCTAACATGCTGATTATGTAATTATAACACCCTTTACCATCACACTGCATCATCATGGAAGCAAGAGTAGCCGAGAGTAGATTGATGCCTGGGCCCCGGATGGGAAGTTAGTCAATCGATGCATCGGTTTGGCGTCGGCATACAGAATCCCGAGCGGTCACGTCCAGATCTGCGGCACTGTTTGCACACTGACTCGCACGCTGTAACCTTTGTTTGTTCTGTTGCTACTTCAATACCTGACGAAGAACATATACACGAGTCCACAAGTTTGGGAGAAGAAATGCATGATGCCGGTGCCGGGCCAGTCTGCTTCGTCTTCCACGGGCACATCCCAGCATTCACAACCACACGGGGCTGACGGAACAGATGCCCGGCACAAGCAAAACCGTGTGGCGATGCAAATATCGTGTTGGGTTCGAACACTTCCCAAGGATCGTGAAAATTCCATAAGCAACACCGATTCAGCAGGCGACGCTATGTTTCCTTTACGCATTCGGCAGTAGTCGTGTCCCAACGTATTTAAAACTATCTACCTCAAGTGCATAGCCATTAACACCGAAAGGTGTCTCCCCTGGTCAGGGATGCGAACTCGAAAGCACTTTGGTCTTCCCAGCGTTTGTGGGCAAACCGATCGATTTAGCGACTTCAGTCATCAGCGACGCCAGGGTTTGTATGTTACAAAACCTTGACGCTGACAGGCCCATATCGTCAATGTAGCCGCAGCCAGCCAGCCGGCGTTCGAGTGCGATTTCAACACCACCAAAAGCCCGTATGACCTTCCCAGAAATCCAGTCAACATAGCTGGAGAGAGAATACAGATTTGTGGAACGCCTGGCTTAGTTAGATTATTGTGGACTAGGTCTCTTGCAATGATGAGGCAATAGTGGGCTCCGATCGCAGCCACTAGTTTTACCAGCGTGACGTTTAGTCTCATTACCCACACGAGGGCTTATAGTGGACGCAATCGGACACAGACAGTCAACAGGGCCGTCCTTTGATGGTAGCCACGGCGGAATTCAGGAATGCGGTTCAGTGCAAATATCTGGTCCGCGCATCCACGGTCGGCTCGGGACCTAGCTTGGTTGAGTCTAGAGTCACGCACACTTTGAACTTGCCTGATAATGGCAATCGTAAAGGCCCTTCCAGCGGCTCCAATGAGACCTATGCTTCGATAATTTCCGCAATCTGTCCTATATCTGTTCATGGTGAGGCAAGGACGTCGGAGTCTGTCGCCAGGGACGAGCTCATACCCTAACGCCTGTTTAATCACCCCAAGCAATCAGGGCGTTAATGTTGACACAAAAATTGTAGATCACAGTATGGGGGCTGCCATCTCCGGGCGCCTTATTGTTGTACGGTCTTCGTATTGCATTGGCGATTTCTCATTTAGGAGGGACCACACGATAGTGAGTAGGCTGCAGGGACGAGGAAGTGGAGGCGCTCGAATTGCTCACTCCAGCCTTATACCTGGGCTGAGGTGTCAGCAATAAAGCTGCCATTGACATCGCAAACAGTCGCTTGACAAATAATATGGCAAGGTTGGCGAGTGTCATCAACGTCTGAGGCCTGTTTCATGAAAACAGCTATTCCAGCCCAACGATCTTTTGCTGTCATATCTTGCTGATATAGCAGTTATTTTCCGAGTTGGTGCGAACAAGAATCACCGAGGGACATAATTCACCCATTCTGACAGACAACTACAGGTTTTTTGTTGATTCAGTCACCGCAGAGCCACTAGGGGAATCTAACTTCTTCAATTCGCTTGGTCGGCTGATGAACTTAATTATAACCACCTATTGCATTCTTCGAATCGGGTTGTGGAGCGAGACCGAATTTTCGCACTCAGTGCCTCGGCTGCGCTGATTTGTCGTCTTGAACGTGACAAACTGGGTGTAAATAGGACTAATTTTCAGGAGAGTGCATGGACAACCAAGCCCAGAGCCGTGAATATGGTGACTGGCTGAGTCGCCGAATCCAGTCCAGTCATCACAGGTCCTGGAGGCAGTAAACGGTTCAGTTAGGGGGGCTGTCAACTAACTCTTGAGCTGCAAGCAGAAGGCTTCTTTATCGCACAATTCGGCGGACGATGTTGGTGCGTGATGGAGGTGTTAGTGAAGTTACCCCTCAGTCGTACGCAATGTGGTCGCCACACCTTACCTACCCCAAGTCGCGTGAGCCGTTGTGGGATAGGGTGGGGCGGGGGTTGGCTTCCAGTATCTTGATTCCCCGAGCATCTAAGCGAGGGATCCGGACTTCAGACGGGCAGCTGACATCAACTTCGCACTGACAAGAACTTTCAGGATCCAGGAACGTTCGATCATCCCAGCATTCAGTACTAGGAGACAGTTCCCGATCGGGTGGTCTAGTCCACATGCCATTCGTCCACACCATCGTACCAGGGCTGTGGACCGCATCGGTCCCCGCGGACGCCGTAGCATGGATCGTAGCAAGTAGTCCAGAAATTTCACGGCTTCTTAGGGACTTGGAGTATAGGCTAACCTCCTGTAATCGCTTTTTTGGGTCGTCGCCTCGAGCGCTTTGACTTGAGAACCCAATCACAAGACAGCGGTTGCACGCAAACTTATCTAGTGGTGGTCCACGGTCGCCATGCCACAATACAGTCATCTTACCTTGCGATATATTGCATGCAATCGACTTCCAGACCCAGCCCTCCGCGCACTGGCAACGCTGTTGCTGATGATCTGCGACTCATCACTCACCAAATCCGAGCTTGCTCATTTCGCAGCTGCCGCTCGGTGAAAACTGTCCCCTTACCCAAAACCTACGGACGAGCTGGAAGGCTAGCAGCTAGAATAACCGGGAACCCGTGTCCCAGCCTAGCACGCCATCCAGTTTCCGAACAGCTTCGACTTGCAGTATCCGACTCATGCTGCGGCGTCAACGTGAACCAAAGCTGCCGGTTAGCCAAGTAACATGCAATTCACTAACACCCTTCCATGGAGAAATAATTAATACTTATCGATGGAGCGCGCACAACTTAGAACGAGGAAGGCACGCCTGTTTGTGGTAAGTCCAGTTGTCAGGGCTTCACACAAGAGAAGCAAAAATGGCCACAACAATGCAACAGCCTGGCGGGCAATGTACTCATGCCATGGTAATCAATCTCACCTCGAATGGTCCGTATACAACTGGAAGAAAATTACTAAATCAGGCGTGGCTGTTGCTTATGTCCCTGCACGCAAGGCAGGGAAAGAAAGACCAACTTTATCCCTTAAAGGGGCACCAGTATTGTCAGATGATAAAGGCGCACGCACATGGCCCACCATCCCCTCCGGACTTTTGCCATGAATCACTAACATGACAGTGTTGGCCCATTTCTTGGTTTTGCTGGAGACGAGTGGTGGCAAAACCATGTTTGAGCACCCGTACTTGAAAAAGGGCATCATCCACCTACCGAATACACTCTTAGGAGCAAGCGGACTCCGACCGCCAGTTGGTGCACGGAATCCAAACAGGCAGACTGCATAACCGAGATCAAATGTCAGTAGTGATATGACTGTATCCACGAAGGCTACCCCGTCCGAAGTGATTGACTTCAGCGGACATAGACGAAGCGCCTTTGCCGCGATGCAATCAACTATCGTGCTTTATCGGGAAAGCGTTGTACCTGACTGCGTTGTGCGAAAGAAAAATGGTCCTAAACAGAAACGCCACAACCTGCCCGACGACACGTGCCAACCTGAAGACCGGGAACTAGCCAGCGCTACTCAGCTGCTGGCTGAAGTGATGCAAGCCTGAAACCGGGGGCACCCAACTTACACGAACCACCAAGACCTAGGCGTTAATATTAAGCAAAAAACGCACGTCAAGCATTAAAACAGCAACGGAAACACACAATGCATGACACACGTTCTTGGGTGAAGACGCCTAAGAGGTCAAGCCAAACGCGCTGATTCATAAGAGAATAGGCGTGTACCAGCGCTGAGTAGGGATCATTACCAAGACGCAAAGCTGACACTTAAACGTAATCAGAGGTCGGGTAACGGTTCAGTCTGTGTTTGCAGAACAACCGCGTGGAAACCAATAATAACGATGCGGCCTATAGGGCTTAAGTGACTTAAAGGTCGGAGACCCAGCACAATCGGCAAAGTGAATAACCCCTACCTGAGATAACATCGACGCAGAAAAAACTGGAACAGCCACCTAACAAAAAGACCAGAACAGAAAGAAGCGGGTTAAGAAGATTGTGCCTATTTGAGACATTTATTCATGCGGAGAAAATCACTTGTGACGCATGCTCTTGACGATAGCCATAAGTTCTTCCCTCTTCCTCTTAGACCTGCGGTGACCACCAATGCGTTTCTTTGTAAACTTCAAAGCCCTTTTCTCCCGGTCGTTCTTCAACAACTCGAGAACGCGACGCTCGTAAGGGGCGAAGCCAACAATTTCACGCACGAGACTGCGAGTGAATTTCGATTGTTTGCCACCGTGCTTCAAAAATCAACACTATAGATAACGGACATACCGCTTTTGAAGCTGACGGCCTTGGGCGTTTTACATTCTTTGTCCTTCGATAGCCTCTCTCGCGTCCGACGGCTACCGAATACTTCCTGATATGGGACATCCCGACCTCACGTCAAATGAGTCAACTGTGGCGGGAAGACCTCAGAGGTACGATAAAACAGTCACTCAAGTGATTCAAGGTCAAAAGAGGCCAGGCATATCCAATATCTGGAGATTATAAATCCATAATTAATGTGTGATTGCTTTTAGTTTAATGTAATGTGCGGTGAACCGACTTAGTCAGGGTTTTCGTGTGCCAACTCTCGGAAACACTTATTCTCTAAATGAAAATTGTAAACGTCGTTACGTGTACATCATAACTCCGAGGGTTCATCGTAACGCAAAGTAATAATGATCGACATAGTTGATTAAAGACGAAATTACTACTTACAGGAAGGATGGTGTGAATTGTGAAAATGGGTGTAAATGTTAGGAAATTACGAGTACGTTATACGAAATAGACAATTGCCATTAGAAAGTCTGACAGTGGACTTGCGGGGTGATGTAGCAGGTACCAGTAGAAAGGTGCTTAATCCTTCAGTATCAGGCATTGCGATAATAGTATTTGCCCACCGCGAATTCCCGCACAATACAAAGCCCAAATGATCAGTAATTAATGAAAAATTTCCGATTCCACTGATTGACTCGCTGCTCAAAAGCAAACTGGGCAATGAAAATTCTGTGTACTATACTAAATTTTCGAGTATTTTAGATACAACCGGATGGGTACATCCTGACCGTTTGCTCCGCGAGGAGTCCTGCACTGGACGATGTAGTCCACCTCCCTCAGAAACAAACAGCCTTTCCCTTCAAACTTTTAGTTTTAAGTGCCAGATCCTTGCTTAACAAGACGCCTTTGCTTCAGAATCTGGTGTTCGTCCATTCTCCAGATATTGTTTTAGTAACTGAAACGTGGGCACCAGTCTCCGTAGCTGACTCCGAACTCTCGCTTCTAGGCTATAATTGCATTCGAAATGATCGCTAAGACAGCCGTGGTGTAGGCAGCTGCGTCTACGTTAAGCAAACACTTACATTTTTACCGCTGGACCTCCCGCACTTTTCCGCAGTAGAAGGCAGTTACTGGCTCCAGGTTGCTCTAAAAATAAGTTCGCCTTACTCGTTGGCTGCGTCTATCGCCCTCCCGAAGCCAACGAAAACTTTGATCGTTTACTCTCACAGGCATTTCATGTTGCGGCCGACTCAAGCTTAAGGTATCAATTGATTGTGGGGGACTTTAATCTCCCCGAAGTCCGCTGGTCTCCGCTTTCAGGCCCCAGAAGGTTCGAGGACATTCTTGAGGCTGTGGATGTTGGGATGTGAACTCAGGTTGTCAATTTTTCCACCCGAGGATCAAGCATGCTGGACCTGATTTTCTGTAGAGGCGGCACACCTTCGTCTTTGTCGTCTCTTGGCCCACTCGGGGGCTCAGAACATGACATAGTTGTTTCAACATTGGAATTCGAGGCTGACAAAACGTTGTCTCCAATGTATTACTTTTTCCGCAATTTCCGATCAACTCGCTCATCCGAATTATTAACACACCTGAATTCCTACGACTGGACTGAGTTCTTCCTCAGTTCGGATGTAAATGTTTGCACTGCAAAACTGTACGAAATTTTGGATCCGATTATTTCTCGTTTTGTCCCCCGTAAGAAAATTATTAATGTTGGGGATGAGGTTTTCCTACCCTTACCCTTTCGTCACAGATTGCGCTGACTTTATCGTCGATTCCGTCTTCAGAACAACGTTTCTTTTCTGCCCTTGATTTGTGATATTTTTGAGCGGACTAAGCGATTGTGATAGAAGTAGACAGATTCCTTGCAGTATTCAGCTCACGGTCCTAGAATAAGCAGTCAGATATTAAGATGGTAAGCGATCAGGGAGAAAACTCTTTATAAAAAATACAAAATTAATATGAATTGTCAAGCTTCTAAGGAGGAGAAACTGACGCTCATTAAAGGGTAAATATGCGGGTCGAACGGGACTGGCCGGCGTATGGTATTGTATAAGGGATTCAAACCGGAAATCGTCAAGGCAGAATTCCTAAACCCGATGAGGCTATCCGCCTCGAAGTGGCAAAGCAAGGGGAACCTGACTGCGATCGTACACAGTCCGCTTAGAGTCCAGCCGAGGAGGTGATATAAGGGTCTAGGGCGGTCATCAATGCGCAAAGGGGGAATGCGACTCGGAAACCTCTTCGCTGACCAAAAAAACTACTAGCGGATGGCAAAAAAGGGGATTCCACCGCGATCATCAACAGACCACTTAGGGTCGACATGGAGGATTGACATCGAGAACCACGAAAATCATCGATCGGGGCTAAAGGCTCAAAATTGCAGGGACCATGGTGAATTCCTAATGCGGGTCGACGATTAGCGAAACGGAGACAACTTGGAGCGCGCACGTCAACCTGGCTTTGCCGACGAACATAGACTGCAGATCTACCTAAATCGGTTGGAAAAGTGTTTAAATCGTTGGCCCATGGGGTTTGACGTCAGCAGTAGGATCCTACTTCGCCCGGGCAACCCAAACAGGTCCGCGAGCACAGGAGACAACGTTCTTGATGGCCCAGTTTTACAAGACGGGGAAACCCAAAAGGACGTCGATATGCCGACAGTGAACTCCTTAAAACCACCCGCTCATAGTTAGAGAGTGGCAAAAAACGCAATGGTCGTACTGCACACCAACAAACGAGCATTTATTGATTTCTATCAAGACGTCTTCTATAAGGATCTTGGAACATGCGTGAGGCCGCATTCGAAACACAGCATCCCCATTCTTTCCGGACAACTTTCTCTATGACACAGAGGAAGGGCCACCGGAAATTTAGGACGCCGCCATTAAATTTCCGTATCCGCTCACATCTCTTTCTTTTTTGTGTAGAATGGCTTCTTATCAGAAATGATAGTTTTTTCGATTTTTCAGTTCATGCATCGTGTCCCTCACAGAATGCGCTCTATCGACGATCTTAGCGGAATCCTCCGTATTCGCCATATACCAGCAGTCTGGTCGCATCTTCCTTGCCCCCTTCTCGGCTGGACCGGGCTGACTGTAACCGATCGCATCCGGCTTCCTACCGCCTCGAGACTGGTTTTCTATTCGCCACTTTCACATGAATGGTCTCATCCGGAATATGAATTCTGCCTTGATGATGCCCGTTTCGAACCTTTTACTCAGTACCACATACAGGCCAGTCCTGCCTGACCCTCCTACTTACCCCTTCATGCAATCCGTTATACACTGCACATGGAGACCGGTCCTGATCGCTTTTTATACATTCAGGAGCGAGGTTTTTTTCTCCTATAGTTTTAATCCAGTCAAAGTCATTTTGTTTATATGTTGGGAGTTTTTTCACTCTTCGCTCATCATTCTGGGTAGTATACTACTCACTAAATAACTACGAATTAAGTAGTGCATAGATTATGTATACCTGTTTTAAAAATTATGTAAAAGTTATTCGTACTTCCTATGAACGTCCTCCACGCGTCCTGAATAAAAATTATCATTAAATTATTAATATTAGTCTGGAGACTGTGGACGATTCAAAATCAAAATAGTCTCGAAAGAGCCCAAATGAGAGCCACGGATATGGTTGGGGATCAAACCCCTTTTCCTCTGCAACCCGTCTAGAATATCTGAAATTCTTCTCTTTGAGTTTTAGCAGCTGCGCTGGGACCACTTACAAGCACACCGCATTGGGTAAAAAATTAGATTGCGACCTGACCTTTCAGGTCTGAATATTAGTATTTCCTCAATGGTCACGCACTCGAACTTGCGGCGGTCAAGGATGTGAGCTCACCTTAAACCACGCACAATAATTTCGTTCCGTGTTATATTAGAAGTCAGGGAGCTGTGAGAACAGGTTTATTCCACTCACAGGGTTTGAGCCCGACTGAGCAAAACGGAATTATTCTGCGCTCCAACTGGGACTATTTCGACTTGGTTACCATTTCACAATTACCGTCTCTGACATTGATATTGGAACCGTACATACAGAACTGCCTTGTGCATTTTTGGAATATTTTTTTCACGCATCGAAATTCGCCAGGAGCCTGGATTAAGCGCAATTTGTTTATTGGCACAGTCAAACTGACTACGCAACCGAATCGCGGCTCTACAGCCTGAAAAACCAATCGTTCAAAATCCTTCAAGGTCTGCAGTTATTCAAGTCCTACGAGATCTGCAAAGGGTTAAGTCGCTTCTGATTAAATTCACAAAATTAATCGGATTTTAATTATTTTTTCGCTTATTGAGTTTTGAATACTCACTTTAACTCCTCATATACAAGCCGATATATTTGTTATAACATCGAAAACGAAATTATACCTACTATATAATGCCGAAGTTTATGAAATCTTAGCAAGCTTACTGTAATATTACGGTCAGCGACGGCACCTCATTGGAAAACAAGTCCAGTGGCATGTCCTTCGCACCCAGAACCTGTGCTCGCTCTACCTGCGCTTCCAGCCAACGACCAGCGAAGCGTGCAAAAAGCGAAATTACCGCAAAAGCGTGAGGTACGAAGATGAGCCTTGTGTTGGGTGCGCAGGTAACCAAACCAAAATCGAACAACTCAAAAAGGAGCTTGCTGATTTAAGGACGCTCGTGAAGCAGATCCTAGACGACCAGAACGTGTCCGGTGTTAGAGTCCCGAAAACGAAGAGCAAAACGCAAAAACGCCAAAAAATATCTCCTCGGGGACATCTCCAATCACGAGTAACAACTAAGTAGCCAAAACCACAGACGCCAATAACAGTAGGACAACGAGAACGGAGCCGCCGATAAGGGCAGACTCGATTCCCACGCAAGATGTCTTAAGCGATGTCAAACAAAAATTACCTGATGCAGAAGCTACCTCGCCTAAGCCTCTTGCTGTAAGTGACGTGAATTCTCTTATGCCTGGAGACGATATACCTGGGTCATCCAGTTTACTGTTGCCCTCTTGTTCTGGCAACCACCCGAAGCGCACTACAGAGCACGTATCTGAGTGCGAAGACATGAACCCGTGGGTAGAGGGGAGAGGGAAACGCCATGACAGGAGTCTGAAGTCACAGCCAGACC